TTGGTGAAGGTAATAGACAATGATTTTGAAAACCCTATCTTTTTACATGCCGGTATATCATATAAATTTGTACACGCACTCTTAAAAATAATCGCTGTGAAAAAAACGGTATTCACAAACTGTAAGACCCTGTTTGTTTCCCCGTTAAGCTGACATCAAAATAACATCGGCTCCATGGTGTTCCTGTACTAAAATAAAACACTGATGAAGGCAACATATGAGACGATGTAGAACTATTGTTGGTTTGCCTTACGTTTTCCATTCGCATTTAAGTTTACATTTGGCCTCGTAATCCTTCACCGTCTGACTGGATCCCGCGATAACTATTCTTACGAGGGAACACCAAAACCTGATCTCCCAGTTTTAGTCGAATCAACTAACCAAACGACATGGAAACAGGAAGCCTCCTTGCGCAACATTCCCTAAAGTGTAATGTGGTCGAGTCATGACGATTACAGTAAATCAAGCGCGACCCTTAACCCTAAACTTAACTTCGACTCGGCTTCTGGAATAAATGCAACCGAGAAGAAGACGGCTCGATCGCTGGAATAATACTTTGATTCGCCTGGCGTTTCGAGATCCGTCGTGGATTCGTCATCAGAGACATAGTCAGATAGCAGTAGCAGATATGGGTAGCGTATGCACAGGAGTATGCAGTATTTATAGGATACAGTCACTACTGCAAACATACAACGACAATTAACGTTAATTGCCTTCCTTCCTGTGAATACGCTACCCATATCTGCTGCTGCTATCTGACTATGTCTCTGATGACGAATCCGTGACGGATCTCGAAACGTCAGGCGAATAAAAGTATTGTCCTAGCGATCGAGTCGTCTTCTTGTCAATTACTTCCTGGGACTCGCATGTTCGCTTGTATTGGCGATAAATGCAACCCTAGCCTTGATCCAAAATCTAACTTTACTCCTCCCTCTAATCCTAAATCTGATATTTCTGCAAATTCGCAAAAGGTTCCCGTAATAGAGTGGGCTTTTTACTTCCGTGTTTTGGCCAACTACCTTTTGAAGGCAGGTGCAATGCCTATTATTGTTATTTTCTTAAATTTTTATAATTGTTTTCCTCTCCTAGGTCCCAATATTGACTCAAGCAGCCTCTCCGTCGCGGTATTCAGACACGTCGACTTGCGAAAGACGTCTTCCAGTGACTGCTAACGAGCTAGTTCCACCTCCTACAGATTATCCAACTTCTGGTACGTTTTTCGGCGCTTTGCCACAGCGCTACTTATGTGACCTCCATGATCGAGATTCTTCTCGAGCACCTTGATAATTACCTGTCTCTGTGAGCTGAAATAAATTTTCCTGAGGTTTTGAGCTATAAGCGACAGTTCGGTCGTCAATTAGGTCCACCATGCGTCCTTCAGCGTGGTGAACACAGGGACGGAAACTCAACATGTATCGCGCCCCTCTCTCCCTCTCTTCCCTCACCTTCCTAACTCCGTTGTCATGACCAAGTCTAGATGACCGAAGGTGGGATGGAGCGCAGGTATTCTTTACAAAAGATCGGTGCTGATGTGCGCGCCGAGGCGTGGCGTGGCCAGCATTAGCTCTGTGCGTACATCCGCCTG